GCTTTAAACAATTGATGTATGTATGGATTGTGATAAGAGTTGTATGAACCGCCAATAAAATGACTGAAAAAAAATATTCAGATTCCAACGTCATAAATGACAGCTTTGAAGTATTGGGTTAGTTTGCTACAAAGTAATACCCGATTCACTGTATGAAGATCAGCAATAAATGGCAGTGGTCAATAAAGGATAACCTTTGCTATGTTGCACTCACCAATTTGATTTTTATCTTAAAATCTGACAGACTCTTTATAAACTACTGCAAGAAATGTTATGCATCATCCTAAGTCTAAAAGTACTCTGAATACGTTTTGAACAAAAATAGAAATTGCATCCAAAAGGTATACCTCAGTTTATGTAGCTGATAATCTAAACTATGATATGGAATACGATTTAACTAACTTGATTTTATAATTGTGATGTTTACATTAGCGCCTAATTTCTCATCTATTTTCACATAGCCATGGTACCTACTCATTTAGCTTCCAATTCATTGTTGCCTTCCTTTTCTGAATTTATTAAGAAAATTAATGAATAAAGTCTCAGTTTTACAACTGTCTCAAAAATCTTCTATAAAGAGAATGAATTTTCCCTTCCTTCACATATTTTTACTTTCAGCTAAAAAGGGGGAAAAAACTGCTTCCAAATGAGGAGCTAATAGTTACAAGAAAGAAAATATGTTCTCAAAATGACTGTGGTGATGATTACACAACTCTCTTTAATATGATTAACCACTGAACTGTATGCAAATTATGTCAATAAACTGTTATAAATTGTAAGAGTCATTTGAGCCCCTAATAAAACGATTAAAAATAATAATCTAATTAAATTAAAAAATAAAGAAAAAAAAAAAAGGAAAAACTGGCTTCTGGTTTAACAAATTAACGCAGTCATCTAAATGAAGTTTGTGCTTAAATGCTGCCAGTTTACAATCTTGCTACTCAAGTGTGTTTGGAAACATCTATCTTCTGGAATGTCTTCAAAAACCATAATTTTCAGCTCTACTAAAGACCAACAGTATCGAATCTAGATTTTAACCAAATCTTAAGTGATTCATATGCACCTTAGAGCAGGGAAGGGAAGGGAAGAAGGAGGACCAGACCACCTTAGTAGGTTTTTCAAATCCCAGGTCTTTTTCCTCTACCAAACTTGACAACTGCTGCAGCATGGTGCAGAACAGTCCTTCACTCTTTGCAGGTTAAAAAGTTGTCACATGCAGATTTCCTAGCACGCTGGTTTTCCCGCCAATCGGAACAATGATAATTTAAAACTCAGTATGTCTGGATGACACATATAGGTCTAATAAGTGGAACAGCTCACCTAGGCGGAGACACTGCCGCAAAATCCCTCCAGATGACATGTTTTTTTCAGCTTCAATTTCAGTGAAGCCAAGAGAACTTGCAAATATGAGCACATCCACAAGACTGATTAGCCTCTGCAAAAAGGTCACAGAGGCTTCTATCGAAAGGCCTTGAGTAGGCTCAATATTCTCCAGTTCATGCTGTAAGAAATAAAATTTCACATGTATATCTGTGGCCTGATAAAAATTTAATTAAAAAATTTAATTTTACCCAATACATATCCCAACTTTCTAAATTTTACAAAAAGCCAGACTTGCAAAACTCTAGCTCAACACATTTACTTGTCATTTCATCTTATGAAATACAAAATTTTAGAAACATAAAGTTAAAACACCATCAGTCATATCCTTCAATAGCTGATATATTCTTAGGGCAATTAACATTCTTCTTACTCTGTTTACTAATTGAATAGATTCTAAAGTCCATTCAGGTAACTGTAAAAAAAAAGTCTGTGGCTTTGGATTTAGAGACCCCATGATGCATAATAACTACTCATTCAAGCTGTCATCACTAGCATGCATAAGCCTCGTGTTTTCACAGCAGTTTCCTATCGTAAATACCAAGTCCTTACTGTCGCAGATGTAGCCACTGAAAGCAATGGCAGTATGCCCCCACAAGCCATGACCATATTGTCCATCACTTGAGAGATGAGATGAATTGTGTTGTGCACAAAGATGACATTATCACTGCTGTTCACGAAGTCCATAACTGTCTTTGTTGAATGGCTGTCCAAAGACAAACGATGGTTACTGATGAAGCGAAAGAAAGGAAATCACAGCTTACGTACTTGAGGGAAGGGAAGACAAGAAGATGCCTGTGCTTTACCTTAAAAGCTGAAGAAAGACAACGATGCAGACATTTTGGGGGATGTACTTCTTCACAGAAAGTACACCATAACAGTGGTTACTATTCATGCCCTCCTGCATTGCTAACACATAAATTCTATTAACATTACACCTGATATAAAAATGTGAAGTAAATCAGACATACTCTGAGAAGCCATGCATCCACAATTAAAGGGTGCATAGAGCCAAATATGCTATTCTAAATTCCTATCATTTCTTTTGGAAATGCCATAAAATAAGAGTATACAAATACATATAAATAAATTGGGTACTTATAAAATCACAAATTAAATAATGAAGTGTAATTCTGAAATACACTTTTATGCACTAGAGTCTTGTATACATAAATTCCAGTTGTTTTTCAGTATTTCCAATAATAAAGCCACTCAGTAAGCTTACCTCTCTGGAAAATCCCACACTTAACAATAATCTTTAGAAAATCTTCAGCAATAAAAAAAAATGTACATCTCTAGGTATCAAGTTTTTTATAATCTAGACAGAATTTCTTATAATAGAAAACAAACATTAATTTAATAAAACTCAACCCCAGAAACAATTTATAGTCTACTCTTAACCAAATTCCAAATTAAGAATAGAATGTGAACTATATGAATTTCTTTTGAAATTAATACTAAAGTTTATACACATCATCCACAAGAAATATATGAACAAACCTTCTCCACATCTGTATATCTGTTTCTATTGAAAACAAAAGATCAGTGAGCAAACGCTGATGCATTTGAGACCACTTGAAATCAGGAATACGAAACACAGTCGATCTGGAATCCCTCCTGTGTCCAGAAGCTACATCAGAGGCTACACTTTGGCCTGGCTGTTCCTGTTGTCTTGACATCTAATATGGAGAAATTTAAGTAGTAATAAATTCCACTTCAAACAAAGCTGTTAGTAAAATAATTCAGTAGTTTCTATACATATCAGCTAACAAGCACATTTTAAGGCAGTACAGTGACCCGTCCCGCAGGTCATCAAACAACATGGATACCTGAAGAAGGGACCGAGAATGATGAGGGGCAAGAGACTCGAGAAATGGAGGCAAGACAGGAGTCTGATCAAGCCTCGTTTATTGAGCAGAAGGCAAAGGCCTAAACACCTAATGGTGGGCGGGTAACATTACATCATATGCTAATAAAGTGTAACAGGTAGTATCCAATAATCACGCAGCTACCAAATATGGAAGAAATGGCAGGCATCAGTCTTCAAACAGGTCCACATGCAAATGAGGTGCACTTGGATGCCTGGCAGAGGTGTCCAATGAGCATGGCGGCTGCCTGCCACCGAGCACCAATCATCACAAAGGTCAAACTCAGGCAGGACAATAGGCCAGGGAACATCTGGGAAGGGGAGCTTAAAGACACCGGACGGCGCAGGCCATGGGCTGAGGGACGTGCAGACTCCCACAGTACAGAATTATTGAAAATTCATCAATGAGGAGTAATATTCATGTTTTAATACATTTAAAGCAAAGTTACCAAACAGGGAGGGTAAAGGGAGAATGGGTAGGAAAGAGGGAACCGATTACAAGGAACTATATGCGACCTCCTCCCTGGGGGACAGACAACTGAAAAGTGGGTGAAGGGAGATGTCGGACAGGGCAAGATATGACAAAATACCAATTTATAAACTATCAAGGGCTCATGAGGGAGGGGGGAGCGGGGAGGGAGGGGAAAAATGAGGACCTAATGTTGGGGGTTTAAGTGGAGAGAAAATGTTTTGAGAATGATGTACAAATGCGCTTTACACAATTGATGTGTGTATGGATTGCGATAACAGTTGTATGAGCCCCTAATAAAATGTTAAAAAAAAAAAATAAAGCAAAGTTACCAAAAAATGCTAAACTACCTCAATTCAATAATTATCTTGGAACCATATCAGTATCACCACCAGACAATGTGGCATGAAGAATCAAGGTTCAAGAAGTTATTCATCTTGCGTATTAGCATTTTTAAAAAGGGAGTACCTAGATTATAAAGTCATTAAAATGAAGAACCAACAAAAAATAAGGAAAATACAATGAAGAACAAAGAAATAAATAAAAGAGGGGAGAGTGGGTCAGAATAGAAAAAATGGCGAATGACAACATGCAACCAGTCATTGAGCCTAAAGAGGACTTCGACATACTGAGAGAGAAGATGCCACCTGAAACTTTAGCACAGGCACCTGCCTCTTACACAGTAAACCAGCCACAAGGAGGGATTTAAAACCCCATCTTTTGTAAACAGCATCATAAAATGGCAGGAGGTCTTAGAGAAAAGCAGTCCTGGATTTTGCTGGAAAACTAATGCGCCAACTAAGTATTACAAGGCTAGTCAAATGAGGGAACAAACGAAAAGTATTTCCAATACTTCCTTTCTAAGGGAAACCCGTGCCCATCGTGAAACATGACCCAGGCTGTGATGGGCAAATAAAAAGAAGGTTGCACCTCATGAAATCTTAGACAATGTCAAACCCTGTGCTTGATGCTTGAAATTTAATCATTACATTGCATTTAAGTAATTGAGGACAGCCTATAAACCAATTCCAAAATAAAATCAAGCACATATACACTTGCTGCACTTTATTTAACTCTTTTTTGCACACACATTTCAAGAACAAATAATCACCTCAAGTACGGGCCGATGAGGTTGCGATGCCTCCATGCTTGTGTTGGCCTTCAATTCCAGCTTCTCGGTATCTGTAGCGATGCTGGAGACATCCAACTTGGCAATCTTCTGCTCAGAAGTAGGTGGAGATTCTAAACTAGTAGCATGACTATCAATAATGGATTCGGTTTCTTCAGCAAGATCAGTCGCTTTCTTCTCTTCCTCCTGCAGCTGAACAACATCTGATTGCACAGCTGTTTGGGAAGCAGGAGTTTCTGGTAAGGGAGCTGACAATTCCGATGCCGTCACAGTTGAGAGTCCTGAATCTTCACAATTTTGAGTTCCAGCTTCAGTTTGCTTTTCAGGAACGGGTTCTTCTTCTGGAATTAGTTTGCAGTCCTTACTGGGCAGATCCCGGGCTTCGCTGGTTTCTGACGCAGATGCAGGCAAACCCCCGTCTTGGAGCTCAGTAGGTAAACTGGTTTCCTCAGGAGGACTGCCTTCTATCTTTAGTTCCACATAATCATCATCCTCCTCTTCGTCTACTGTAGACTTATCCAATAATTCTGGCACCTCTGACGCGTCCTCTTCTGAAGGTGAGCTGAAGGAGGCTGTTACTTCACTGATGGTCATGGTGTCTTTACCAGTTGTTTGCAAAGAATCAGAGGGAACAGCGACAGCTTCCATGAATTCAGAAGATACTCCTAAAACATCTGCATTCACGGTCTTATTTGCCGGTGTGACTTCCTCCAGTAATTCTTGGTTTTCTTGCCCAGTCTTGCTTTCTTCATTAGATGTATTATGTGGTCCGAGTTCAATGTTGGATGCTGAGTTTACCAAGCATGCCTCCTCACCGTGTGAGTTGTCATCATCATTTCTGATGATACTAGATGAGACAGGAGAGTCCTTGGTATCTGATGGCCAGGACCCTTCTGAAGCATGATCCATGCTAATATCAGGAAGTGCTCGGACTGGACTTGAAGAACATGGTTTTACTTCTTTGCCAGCGTTTCCCTGGTGCTCCCTAAATATATTGGCAAGGTTTTCTTTGTGTATTTCAAAAGTGACCTATATTGGGGGGAAAATGTTAAAATCGGTTAGAATATCCATTAAAAATATACAAAAGGAAATACAAAATATTTTCAACACTTTTACATACACATGATCTATATAATGCAATCAAACTTAATTCACCTACCAATGCTCATTTCAGTAAAGTGACAAAAACTCAACCACACCAAAAACACAGTTATGAGAAGGCATCAAAAGTTTGTGGAAAACTCCCATTATCTTTCAGTTCTATTTCCCACAAACTTATAGAAGCCTCTTTATATTTACTAAATACTTAAAAATAAAAAGAAGATGCTTTTCTTTATACTTTACACTAGTCTATATAATTTGTACAGTCCTACAGGGTCACTATGAGTTGGAACTGACTTGACAGAAGTGAGGATTCTTGGGGTCAGTAGCTAAAAGGCTACGTCTTTGTCCACAAACATAGAAACAACCCCAACATAGGTCTTACTGCAGGCAAGCAATACACTTAGTGCTTCAGTGCTTTAGTGCTATTCTTCTACCTCTTTGCTGGTGCACCAAAGTTTACACAAACCTACCATCAATCACATTGTTTGGTCACATGAGAATCTTGCAAACTGTTCTATAGGGAAGTAATGGCCTTTCACATAAAATACATTGAGTAAACAACGCAGGATAATAATAATAATCACAAGATGGGCTACCTAGAAACCTAAGTTCTCCATTTTCAAGAAATAGGACAATAATTTAACATGAATGAACACCCAAATACAACTCACAATACACTATGTCAGAATACGATAAAGTACACACGCCCCTCCCCCTGCTCCAAATAAGTGCTGAATTCCTGGTCCTTGTATTCATGAAAGTAATCCTATTTGGAAGGAGTTCTCTTTATAATGTTAATGAGGTCATATCAGTATAAGGTGGATCCTAAACCTACTTAGTTCTTATCAAAAGATCTGACATGTACACAGACACCCACACCTAGGGGAAGAAAGGCAGATACACAGAGCAGATGCACCCACTGTCTCAGGAGTTGCAAAGATGACTGACAACTTAAGACCAAAAAGGACCTCTCCCTGGAACAAAGTCTGATTCAGATTTCTAGTCCCCAGAAATGTAAGAAAATGGATATTTCTTAAAGCGCCCTTGTGTAACTAAGATATGGGTAACTTAGATACAGGTTTACTGAGAGTATGATCATAGTCATGTGCAAATGAATAAGAACTGACTGCATATAAATAATAGGGAGAGCGGAGACATTTGGTGAAAACAATCACAAATGCATATGGAAAGTACGCTAGCTTTTTGAGCTAGCTTTCCAAAGTAGAGAGTGACACAGCCATTGAAAACCACCTGAGGAACCGTGTGGGTAAAAACGAACAATGTGAGGTGTTAGCATGCAAGATGAAAAACACAACTTTCCTCCAGTTCCTAAATGCCTCCCCCTCCCCTACCCCCACCATCAGGATCCAAATTCTACCTTGCAAGTCTGGCTAGACCAGAGGATGTACACTGGTACAGATAGGAACTGGAAACACAGGGAATCCAGGGTGGATGATCCCTTCAGGACCAGTGGTGTGAGTGGCGAAACAGGGAGGGTAGAGGGAGAGTGGGTTGGAAAGAGGGAACCGATTACAAGGATCTACATGTGACCTCCTCCCTGGGGGACGGACAACAGAAAAGTGGGTGAAGGGAGACGTCGGACAGGGCAAGATATGACAAAATAACAATTTATAAATTATCAAGGGCTCATGAAGGAGGGGGGAGTGGGGAGGGAGGGGAAAAAAAGAGGACCTGATGCAAGGGGCTTAAGTGGAGAGCAAATGTTTTGAGAATGATGAGGGCAATGGATGTACAAATGTGCTTTACACAATTGGTGTATGTATGGATTGTGATAAGAGTTGTATGAGCCCCTAATAAAAGGATTTTTTTTAAACTGACTACAGAAGAGGTAAGTAAACAAATGAGCTTCTCAAGAGGAGGAAGAGGAGGAGGAGGAAGCACTGAATAGTTAAAAAAAAAAAAACGCAAGAAAAAAATAAGACTGCCCATGACTAAAATTGAAACTACAGTAAGCAGAAACTGGTAAGTATTGGAATACAAGTGAGTATGCTTAGCAAATTCTAAGATGAGGGAGCGAAATACTTCTGCTCTCTTGATTCCACCTTATCTAAGAGGGGCTTCAAAAAACATGCAAAAATCAATGCATTTGAGTTACTGTGCTGGCAAAGAATATTGAAAGTTCCGAGGTTTGCCAGAAGTACAAATAAATCAATCCTGGAAGAATCCTTGGAAGTGATGACAGCAGGACTTGGTCTCACATACTTTGGGTATGTTATTAGGAAAGACCAGTCCCTAGAGAAGGGAATTCACTGCAAAGCTGGCAAAAAGGAGAAGCACACCCGATGAGATGTACTCACACAGCGACTGCAACGATGGACCTGCGAGAGGGTACAGGACCGGGCAGCGTTTCGTTCCACGGTGCGCAGAGCGGCTGCGAGTTGGAACCTATCTGGCAGCACCTAACCATACGGCGGTCCGCTACCATGTGTCAGCTTGTTGTACGTGGCGGTTTATATGCTGCAAAGATTCTGGAAGCTCTGCCACCGGTATTCAAATTCCAGCAGAGGCACCCACAGTGGACAGATTTGAGTGTAGCTTCCAAACTAACGGAAAGCAAGGGAAAAAAGACATACTTCCAAAAACGAACCGCTGAAAATCCTGTGGACAACACAAGAGAATGCTGTCCTAGTGTGCTGGGAAATGAGCACGTCTAGCTTGAAAGACACTCAAGAACACTCAGCAGGACCACAGGGGCTAGAGCAGACCACCAATCCTGAAGGAGGCACAGGACTCGGCCACCTTTCATTCCGTTGTCCTTGGAGCCAACTCGATGGTAACTAACAGCAACATAGAGTACTAGATCAGCTAAGCAAAATGTCTAGAATACTTCTTGTTCCCATAGTGTCCAGTCAATTGAACAGAAGTGACATTGCCTACCGGAGTTTAAACAATGTGAGGAACTCTCTTAGATGCCCATATCCACTCAGTGCCAATGTGGTTGTTGTTGCTTATCTTCAGAAGGTACGTTTTTGCTATCACAATGTATCTCTTACAGATTTGTTTTCATTACCCTCTTCATAGTCTTGAAATCTCTTGATTTTAGAAAATTGCTTTAAAGATGAAATATCATTCCATACAATACATTTCCTTGTCATCTTCTAGATGTATTTATGACCAGCAGACTAACTTTCAACTGGTGATCTAAAATTTGATGGCTGTACATACATATGCATTTCAAGTCAAAGCAAAGTGCACTTTCATAGAATCGATTCTGAAAATGGCATACGGACTACTTTATAAATTTTCCTTCTGTGCTCTGCACGGGTAGTCAAATCATGTTCTAAATATTGCTCTACCTTCCCTAAGCACATCAAATTATTAAGCTTGGTCTAAAAACTGCATTAAAAATTCTTCAATGGGGGGACAGACAACTGAAAAGTGGGTGAAGGGAGACGTCGGACAGGGCAAGATATGACAAAATACCCATTTATAAACTATCAAGGGCTCATGAGGGAGGGGGGAGCGGGGAGGGAGGGGAAAAATGAGGACCTAATGTCGGGGGTTTAAATGGAGAGAAAATGTTTTGAGAAACGATGTACAAATGCGCTTTACACAATTGATGTGTGTATGGATTGCAGTAACAGTTGTATGAGCCCCTAATAAAATGTTAAAAAAGAGGAAAAAAAAATTCTTCAATGTTCTGACTTGGTTCACTTTTAAATTTCCCTAAATTTTACATAATTAGTCTAAAAGCTGACTGGCAATACACTATTATCACTGTTATCTTTTTTGAGGCTGTTTTCCTTCAGGTATTTGTTACTTTAAAACTGATAATTCCCAATTAATTACCAGATATTGTTCTAAATTACCCAGTTAAAAGAGTAGTCATTAATCTCCACAATCATTTGATAGCTAATCTATAACTGTTTGTAAGGTTTGGAAAGCACTTCTATAAAGTACTAGTTAAAGATGCTCATGAGCTAATAACATTTCTCTCGACATTTATTTCCCCTTAATTGCCATTCAAATTTGACATTTAGGAGATTAAAAGTGAGTGCAATACTTCAAGAAATTAACATTATCTTCTCAATCTATATGTAAAATTTTTCACCTATAAAAATTTAAACTTCAAAAATAATGTTAGGCAATGTTCAGTAACTGACTTTGTTTTTAAGCAAATACATCTCTTTCATTGTATTTTTTTTCCTAATGAAATACTGACTGAATATGATATGTTAACTTACAGCTCCTAGAATACCAAAATTTCCCAGTTTATAAATAAGGCATATTTTAAAATAGCTGAATCTTCCTATATGAGATATCAAGGAGCATAGTTAAAATTATTACACCGCAAAACAGAAAGAATTAAAGGCTCTGATCCAACGGTTTTCAACATTAGTATAAAGTATAAAGTAATAGATAAAAACAGGTAAATATCCTTATTGAGTTGTCTTATACAAATCACTATTTTTATCTATTACTTTATACTTAATAAATCTGTGACTGTTAGTGACGTGTATAAGACAGTTCAGTAAAGATATTTACCTGACAGTCACAAAGCTAAGTAGTCTAGTACAAGTCCAAGCTCCTAAATGAGTTTTTTGAGACAGCCTCACTGAGGAACTACCCCAAAGAAAGGCGTATGCTACTTTACGGAAACTTAAGAAAGTTATAAAAATAATGTAAACCCAACAACAAAGGGAGCAATCATATAGGGGAAAAAAAGTTGCATACACAATCATACATGCGTTGCACTTTTTTAAAATGTAAGAATTAAATAGTCACACAGTTAAAATGCAAAGCATTACATAGTGAAAAGTCTCCTTCCCACCACTGTGTTCCATTTGCGTCGTTCACCCCAGCAAACACTGGCAACAAGTTATTGACTTCTTATGTGTTCTCCTCCGGGGCTATTTTTGTACATATACACACAAATATAAAATTTTAGTTTACCAACAAACACT